TGGTGCCTGAGATACTTTCTCGAGCTCACGATAGCTCGTTGTCTGCTCATGGCGGAATACACAAGACAATTGAGAGAGTCAGGCGGTATTATTTTTGGCCAGGACTCGTGGCAGATGTCAAAGCCTACATCAATGCTTGTGAAGTGTGCAAAACAACGAAAGCACCAAATTATGTTTTGCGACCACCGTTAGGGAAAGCACCAGAAAGCCAACGATTTTTCCAACGCTTATTCATAGATTTTCTCGGACCTTATCCCCGATCTAGAGGTGGAAATATAGGTATTTTCATCGTGCTTGATCATTTTTCTAAGTACGTTTTTCTAAAGCCCGTAAGAAAGATCGACTCCAGTGTCGTTATAAAGTATCTCGAAGGAGACTTATTTATGTCGTTTGGTACTCCTGAAACGATTGTTTCAGACAATGGGTCTCAATTCCGGTCGCATGCATTTCAAAAGTTGATGCAGCAATATACTGTTACGCATACACTGACGGCAGTACATTCGCCTCAGGCTAACGCCTCCGAGCGCGTTAACAGGTCCGTCATCGCTGCAATTAGAGCGTATTTGAGGCCTGATCAAAAGGACTGGGACGAACACCTAAATAGGATCAGTTGCGCACTAAGATCGTCCGTGCATTCAAGCCTGGGTACTACACCCTATTACATGGTTTTTGGGCAGCATATGGTCAACTCCGGGTCCACATACTCTTTGCTGAGGAAGCTCAACCTTTTGGATGATCGATCCTTAAAGTTAAGTCGTCAAGACTCGTTTGACGTTGTGCGGGAGAAAGCATGTAAGCGAATGCTGGAGAAACACTCCGAGAACGAAAAGAAATACAATCTTAGATCTCGAGTTGTGTCTTATGCAGTGGGACAAGAAGTGTTTAGAAGAAATTTTAAACAAAGCAGTTTCCAGACCGGATATAATGCTAAATTTGGACCTTCTTTCGTGAAAGCAAGAGTGCGAAAGAAATTAGGAAGCGCCTACTACGAGTTAGAAGACTTGCAAGGAAAACCCGTAGGCACGTATCACGCGAAAGATATTCGCCAATGATCTGGCTTCAGTCGGCATCAGTCTAGGGTACCAGTGGTATGTATACCCTAGCCAGATGTTACCGGGGGGCTTTTGTAGTGGCGACTGAAGACCCTGCCACGGAAATCAGCCTAGAAGGATGCTACGCTTTATGTGAAGCCTAAGCCTAGCTTCGCCAGTTTTGGCGATCACGTAAAGGTGGTCAAGCGACTACGTAACAAAGCTTTGAGCAAGCTTGCACGTGCCGTAATGTAGAGCTGCATTTAATTAAAACGCGTTTTGGCATATTTAACAGAGAATTTACATTTGCTCTGAAGACGAAGAAGAGCGCATTTGCCAATTAGGAAATTTTTTCAAGCAGACTTTCCGTTTCCGTGGGAGGTCTTTTTAAATCAAGGTCTAGAAGAGCATAGACGTGTCGGGTGCTCGTAATTATCAATAAATCAGACAGTGGCAGTGAATCGCGTAAACCAAGTGTTGAAGTGGCCGCTGAAAGCTTCGCAGAAAAAGTGAGTAGAGAAGTGCCAAATTTGTGGGGCACAGTGAGTAACCTTTTTGTTGCCCAGGTTAGGAAAACTAGAAAATTGGAGGCAGCAAAGCAGCGTCGACGCACGGCCAGGGCCAAAGGTCGACAAGACCTTTCGCCAAGGGAAAATCCCTTAATTTTGTTACCAGGGCTCAAGCCAGCGGGTAATTATGAAAATAGAGTGTTTGTTAAAGGCAGTGCTTACTGTTTGAATGGAAAAATTTACAGATTGGGCCCTGCAGTAAAGAGTCAAGTCCCTAGGCAAGGGGTACCCCTAACCTGAGGGGATGAAGTAGAGAAGCTACAACCAGCGCAGGAGGAGCCGATCCCCAGGAAAAATCAGGCCAACAGCGCGGATGCGCAACTCATCTCTTGGCCAGCTTCGTGTCGGGAAAAGCGATTAATTCTTTTTTTTGTGAAAATTTTGCTAACCTCGCGGGTTAACCTTGACCTGACCCCTGTGTTCTAACCTCCTCCTAATGCAAGTGAAGAATAATTTTAAATAGGGTTTACCCTTAAAGCCCATTTTGGTTACTTTTTCTTCTGAGATTTGTGCGAACAATTTGCTCTAACAAAGACAATGTGATTAATGGCCCAAAACATTTGTTAATATTGGCCTTTGAATTTAAAAACTTATGCTCGAATTATGCTCTCGATCTGCTTGCGTCTAGCCGTGAATTTAATGAAGCCGAATAATGAAAATTTATGCTGAATTTCCAGTATTTTAATTTAATTTATTATTAATTTAGTTTTTTTTTATTTTTACACCTTTATTTTTTTACTTCAAATTAAGTTCCATTGTTGCATAGCAAAAAGAATAATAATATAAGAAAAATAGGGCCATTCGGACTTTAACCCCTTTTTTCCAGAGAAAAGCTTCGAGGGAGATCGATCTTCGCCGATGGAAAATTGAGTGAGTCTAAAAAAAACCATTCGAATGAAAACATGCAATTGAAAAAAAAATGAAAATACTTGAAAACTTAAACCATTTAAAAATGATTTAATTTAAAATATACAAAAATAAAATCTCCATAAGCTAATGCAACAATTGAAATTGAAATTGAAATGAACTAAAGACATGAAGTAAATTTATTTTTAATAGTTAATAGAAAAGAGAAAACATGAAGTAAACGAACATTTAATAATACAATTTAAATTTGATTTAAACTTTTAAGAAAAATTATTTCTTTTGAATTTTGTGCACAATTTTTAAACACATATATGTACATCTATGCACCTCCTTACATTTTTACATTTTAATTTTAGCTTATATTTATCTTTGTTAGCTTTAAGTATTGAATTAATTTTATTAAACAAGTTTTAATTTTAAAAATCATGTTAGCTTAAAAACCGGTATATACCGACTCGTAGGATGACTCCACGGTCGTAGGGTCCTGAAGGGATCACCAGAGCCATGCTCTTGCGGCAGGTGATCGTAGGTTGGGTGGGCACAAAGCGAGCACAACAACATCTGTGTCTCTGCATTGTATAGATTTTCTCTCTGTCTTCTCTTCTCTCCACTTCCGCTTTTCTTCTGTCTTCTTTATGTTGTGTGAATTTTGTTTATCATTTCTTCCGGTTTTGTTCTAGCTTTTATTTTGTCGCAGCACGCTCAATTCTAGTCTTTGTAATAATAATGTGTAGTCGTTGTCCGAGATCTGGGTGAGCAAGACCTCCACCCCCAAAGCCGACGAGCTAGAGCCGGAAAAATAAAGCGTGCCCCAGCAGCCCAGATCCTCACCAACCCCGACGAACTTTATGGTTGCACGCTACAAGAGTTCGAAAAACTTTAAGATTTAGTATTTCGATTTCTAAAAAAAATAAAGGAGAATTAAGAATTTTTCACACAAAATGCAGGCTAGGTTTGATAAAGGAGTAATCGGTATCTATATATTGTTTACTTTATTATTAACAGATATTTTTTTACAAGAAATATAAGCTAAACGTGGCCTTTGGTAAAAATCTCGCAAATATATTTTTCAAGACAAAAAACTGGTTTGCATATAAAGCTGTATTGATTGAGAATACCTTTTGTCTCATAAGAATCCTAAGCTGGTTTTAACTCCTTAAAGAAACTTTACAAATTTCTGATACTTGCTGTACTAGAAAGAAAATTGTACTGCCAACAGTGCGTATGAGTAATTTTATCTGGCAATAACTTTGGGACAACAGTCCCAGTCGTATTTGGAATATAATAATAATTTTCACCAAAAAACTTGAGCTAATTATATTTAAAAAGTTTTAAACTAATAATATAATAATTCTCAGCCAAGCCCAATGGTAATTTTAAGCAAATTAATTTCAATACCAAACTTGAATCTTTACTTCTCTCTGAAAATTACAACCTATTCACTTTATTTGAAAAAGAAATTTAATTTTTTAAGTTTCCTTTTTAAAAAACAATTATCTTTACAAAAAAAAAGAAGAAATATACCCCTCTATAGACGATAAAAAATGCATTAAATGCAAATTGTTTTGTCTGATGTCCTTTATCAAACCTCGCCGACAGCCATGGATAATAAATAAGTTTCGATATGATTTATTTTAGTTTTGCAGCGAGGCATAGGAGGAATATTGAAATATTGTAGTATTGAAATATTCATATAATACATATATGGTGTATACAATTTAAATAAATAATAATGGTTTAATTGAAACGGCCTAGAAAACTGTGCTTGTGACGTGCATACATATTTTTACGTTTATTATTTTTGATCATAATTATTTTTGGTTTTTTATCGACTAGTTGTAGTTAAAAGAATTTGATTGTTAATAATTGAAATTGTTTAGTTGAAAAAAGAAGAGAACACGCTGTAGTTTTGTTGGTGTGCCTACCTTGTGCAACTGCGTTTGTTTTTTATACTCTTATTACTTTTGTTTGCTTTCGTTTATATTTATTTTATTTGTATTTTTTTCATATATATATTTTTTTTTCGATTTAAATATATAATGGGTTTCTTTCTTTTTTACTTTTGCTTTTGTTTTCTTTTTTTCTTTTTGTTCTTTTGCATTTTTATATTTTTGGGTTATCAGTCTTTTATATATTAGCCATCGCAAAGTTCAACGAATAAATCTGTACGAAATGAAAGAGAAATACATACAATATATAGAAGGATAACGCAATAGTTTAGCTCTACATCGGCAGTCTCTCCTTATCATTATCATAATCACTACTGAGAATGAGTGTGTGTGTGTGTGTGTGTGTGTGTGTGTGGGGGGGTGTGTGGGTGTGTATGTGTCCTACGAGACGTTCCAAGCGGAGGGCTCAGAACCGAACCGAACCGAACCGAGCCTCTGATCTCTGATCTGTGGGTGTTGCTCTAACTTAAACGCTAGCCACCATCCAGACGGGCCACAGGATCATTCGGTCAGGTCTGGATCCTGGGACCTGGCTGGATGCGGGGATCTGTGTGCGCGAGGGGATCGCAGTGTGTCACACTTACCGGGCTGTAGTTCAATGGGGCGCGGCTGACGGCGATGGGGAAGCCGGATGGCTGCGGACTGGTGGCCTGCACATAGCCCACATTATCGGCGGCCGCCGAGCTGTACATGTCGATGGTCGGGCCGGGCGAATTGGTCGAGGGGAATCCCTGCCGGGTGGCCGTGGTGGCGGCGGCGGCATGCGGGGAAGCCGAAGGACCAAAGCTGTGGGCAGCCGCAGCAGCCGCCTGATAGTTGTTCATCACTGCAACAATAGATTGAGAATATATATGATATAGTTTTATCAATATATATATATATGTTATACATTATAAAGTTTCTTCTGATTCTAAGGAATCTCGGCAAATATTTGATAGTAGGTTAAATTGTGTTGTCAACAGTGCGTATGAGTGATTTTAGCCAGCAATACCTAGAGACAACAGTGCGTATGAGTGATGTAAATTAAATATTTAATTAATTTGGACAAATGTACGTGAGTTACAGGACTTTAAAAGGCTACAAACAGCAAACTATTGTATTTACTAATTACATTTTTTAAAAGAACATAAGTTTAGCTTCTAATTAATGAAAGGGAAAATGTAAGGTCACTCACCTGACAGCGCCTGGGTCAGCAGCGGGGTATTGTTGTTGGGTGTCAGCTGCCCGTTGCTTAGATCAACTGTAAGTGTCAAAAAAGAGGGCAACAGAGTGGTCATTAGTGGGTGTGGGTCTCTCTCTGGTGTCGGTGGATCATCGCTAGGCTAGGATTGGTAAAAGTCGTTAAAGTCGGCCACATACTACTTTAGAAATACATATATATGTTCTGTAGAAGGTGGCCGCGACACTCAAGAGTATACGAAACGTAATCAAGGCTGAGCTCTAGGGTTACGCAAAAGGGAGTCGGGGATCGGGTATATTATATTATATTATAAATAGGTGGGTATGGAGTGAGAGAGAGTATTCGAGTATGCGATTGTTATACATGTGGGGTCTATAGCTCCGCTATATCGGTGTGCCGAGGAAGCAAACAATCAAAAGCGAAAGTAAACAACTCTAACTAGTCCCGGGACACAACTACGATGCGATGCCAAAACGCAAACACAAAAGACGAACCAAAACAGCGAAAGGAAGTACGTATAGATACATATACAATATATAAAAGGGATTTCGGGGGAAGAGGGGATAAAAAGGGAAAAGGAAAGCGCTAACTGGAACGCAGGTTATGAAAACACAAAGTGCTGCTCGGTTATTAAACGAGCTTTGGGCTGGAAATGTTGACGCTACACAATGACAAAACAAAGCCAAAGCCAAACTAAACCAAACCAAACCAAACCGAACCGAACCAAAGTGAACCAAACCAATCCCAGAACCCATCCAAACTCAGTTACTATGCTTGGTTTGCCCCAGCGTTGTGCACTTTCCTTTGGGCTCACATTTTCCCCGTGCATTTTCCCCCCAGTTTCACCCATTTTTCCCTTTTTGCCCCGTTATCATTGTTATCGTTTTTTTGCTCTAGCTGTAGCTGTAGCTGTAGCTGTAGCTGTTTTCCCTTGTTATGGTCACAGCTGCTGCAGCAAGTAAAAATACGCCAGCGCCAATATTGAAATGACAACAGAATGCGAATCCGAATCCGAAACCGAACAAAAAAAATGGAAAAAGGGTAACGGGTTATGGCAGGACTCTGGCTGCTCTGCTGGAATGTGGTGGGCGGAAACGTAGCAGTTGCATTTCCTGCGGAAACACAAAAATTGATGTAACGTAACGTGACGTAACGTAACGAGGCATGTCCCTGGCTATAGCACTACATAGCAGCACCCTCAATAGTAACCCCATCCAGCCATCAGCCATCAAACCAACGACCTTCGTCATAGCCGCTGTGCGTTTTATGGCGCCAATCAACTTTGGCTTACGTTTAGTTTACGTTTTTGTGCGAAATCCCGGTGCGCCATGTTGTTTTCATTAGTGTGTCGGATCGGGTCTGGGAACTCTGATACAAAGAAGCGTGGACTCTGAATACCAGTAAAAGCAGCAACAGCAGCCATTGCAATAGCAGTAACATTTGCTTTTGTAAATAAATAACTTATTTAGCCGGGGTTTTTCGGTCTGCCATTGCATGAAATGCGTTTCCGCTCGGGTTTGGGAACTGGAAACTGGTATATCGGGTAAGGTCGGTAAGGATTCGAATGGGGTCGAGTTTTGTGCGGGTAAAATTGCAATTGTCAGTCTTGCGGTTTGCGGAAAAACAAGAGCTCCCAGCTGCTGTCGTCGCTCATACCATAAAGGGTTACAATTGAGACATTTTACAAGAAAGAAAAAAACGGAATCGGTCAACGAAAGAGACATTTACATGATCGGGAAATAACTAGCGTTTACAATTACAAAATAGGTACGCATAGGTTTTCGGTTATACATGTTTTATGCTTACAGTTTACTACAAATGAGTGTACATGTTGGCATTTGTTTTCTTTTGAAACACTATTTCGAGCTCATCTCATCTATATTTGAGCTAATTTGTTGTTAGTCTTAATGTGTGTTGTGTGTGTGAAATTATACTAAACACAAAGTTTTATTCAAAACGGAAGAAGAACACTACACATAAATATATATATAGTTGTTTATATATGGTTGTTATTTGTTCATCTACGACTGGCGCAGCCAGTTTACATTATTGGTTTTATATCGCTCTTTTTGCTAAACTTTTTCTATCAACTAACAGTTTACATACAGTTATATAATAATCGTAAAATGTGGAAAATCTGTTCGGATATGGAGCCAAAAACGGTTATAGGTTCGATAAAAGATGAATAAATACGTATATAAAAGAGATTATAATGCTTGTATTGGAACTATAAGACGACCATTAGCTGACCTTGTTGAGGAGTGTTGCCTGAGCTTGAATTGTTCTCGTTTCTGGCTTCTCATTCAGCTGCTGTAGTTGTTGATTTTCCTCCTGCTTTCCTTCCCTTGGCTGGAGTCATCGCCATCGTTGTCGTTGTCGTTGTCGTTGTCTTTGCCAAGTTGCTGTCACAATATTACGCATACGCCCCGATGGCCACTTTGTCACTCTTGGAGCCGTCAGTTCCATTCGAATCGCAAAATGCTAATAACACAAGAGCTAAGAGGCAGAGAGAGAGGCTGAAAGGCCCCTAGGCCCGAGGCCGAGAAAGGATAGACTTTGGTTTCGGCTTTGCGTCCGCATTTAATATTTATTTTTTTTATTTCACTTTATCTCAAGTTTTTTTTGTTTGTTGTGCATTTATTTAGTTAATAACTTTTCGTTTTCCATTTTCGGTTTGATGCGTTTCTGCGCAAGCGATTTCAATTCTGCGTTTTTGGCAAATGGGTTTCTTGTTTCTCATTTGAAGCGTTTTCTTATAAATCACAGTATATACGTGTAAAATACATATAGGTATGAGCGTGTGTGTTTGTGGTGTGTGTGTGTGTCTATATAGGTTTTTATTTGTATGTAAATAACTCGCAAGCGTTTTTTATTTTGTTGTCAATTTTAAATAGTTGCAAATACCTTGAAGCAGTTCCTCCCAAAGTGGCGATAATTGCATTTCAATTAACTAAGTAACAGCTTATCCATTTATAGAGTTATTGATCTTAATTCCTTAAATAGGTTCGAGATTCCTTCGTGTGTCTGTGTGTGTGTTGTTGTGTGTGTTTAAATAGCTAAATGTGTGGGTGAGAGGGACTTATAGTTACGCGTCGAATGGAGGGGACATAGAAAAATTGCATTTTTCATCAACTTAAGAGAGAGAGATTTGTTTTCATTTCTTTCGCTTTCGCTTTCACTGTCGCTTTTCTTTTCTTTTCCTTTCATTTCTTTTCTTTTCTTTTAAGTTTGCTCTTCGAAAATGGATGGACATTAATATTGTATTTTTCGTTATTGTACAAATCAAATCGAGTCACGCCTCGCATATAAAATGGATACTCAATAACTTAGCTTGTAAACGTCGTATATTAAATATGTGTATATATATAAATATTCATGTATATATAGTAGGTATAATATAGGTATATATCGTAATGTCTATATATATGTACTTTAAATAGAAATGTCAAAAAATTTCGCTCGTTTTCTTTTGTTGTTCTTTACTTTTTTGTTGGCCATTTTTCGAGTGTGTGTGTGTATTTGTTTTTAGCCATTTTGGAATTCTTGCGATGCACCGATGAAGGAAGGAATTTATATGCGTATAGAGTAAAGCCTTCAAAACGTTTATATGCGGGCCAAATGTGGTTTTTGCTAATATATATATATATTTATATATTGTATATAGATGAAACGGAATATAACACAGCTACGAATAATGGGCAAATCTACTAATTAATGAACTTTAGCTATGGCAAAAATCTCTGCACGTTTGCTAATTATCTAAAAACTCATGGGACCAACCGACCAACAGCAGCAACAAATGGATATGAAAAACGAAAACAAAAACAAAACAAAAAAACTGGCAAAATTCCATACATAATGCGCGGCAAATTAATTAAAGGATAATAATGGCACTACATGTGACAGGCCTGCTAAAATTTGTTGTTATCTAAATGTTTTTCCATGTGCAGTTGCCAGTTGTCCTGTTGTCCTGTTTGTTGCTGTTGTGGGTAGCAACTAATTTATGCATACAGGGACTACAAATGAAATTTGCATTTAAATGCTACGGCAAAATAGTTTTATAAATAATAGATGTGCGTCCCTGAAACCAGGATACGAATGGGTCCAGGTCAGGGTGCCAGATAGCCAGATAGATACAGTAATACTTTCGAGTGGGTGAAAGGATGAGTGAAGTGGCATGAAGTGAGTGGGGACTGTATGAAGATCGAGTATAGTTCACTATATGTTATATGTTATATATTAATTCGTTACACTGTGTCACATGTCTAATTGGGCTTCTAGAGAGACGTGTGTTCTTGTGTGATTATATAGGCGCTTGGCTGTTGCGGGAGTGATTATACTGGCCTAGTTCTAGACGATTCTAACTGATTACGGGTGCTCTAGCTGCTCTAGCTCTATGAATACGCAAATATAGGTACTTTATTATACGTTTTTGGGATGCCGCTAGTCACTACTTTGGGGTTTTGTCGGCTAATACTGCTGCGGTAATTGGTTAACTGCTCCAACAATATATATGCACTTATATATGGGGTATATTTCTTTGGGAGTCGCGTCTAGTACGTAAGTTCAGTGTGTGTGTTTGTTTTGTCCAACTATATGGGCTAAGAGTGTGTGTGTGTGTGAGTGTGTATCTATGTTTGGTGTGTCCAAGTTACATTTTCTATGTAGTTCTTTTTTCAAATTGAATCTCTCGTTTGTTCTTTTCCCGCCACTGGGCGTACTCTTGTGGTTGTCTTACTGGGTTTTATGTTTTTGTTTAATTATTTGTTGTAGTGGTTACCATTTACCGAAGATACAGGCTACACTAAGCTGTACCTACTTGTCACCGTTCATTTGTTTACTTGACACACACTGAGAAAGGGGCTACGACTCGGGCTCTCACAGTCTCAATCATTTGCGAACCGGGGAGTCGAGTCTTGTGTCATTCTCAATCTTCACTCAATCAGACTTGGTTCTTGGTCTTGGTCTCTCGCCTAGAAATTTATGTTGCCCAGAAACTGCGATTTGATGGCCGCCGATCGAGCCGTCAGGGCCGTGGCCAGCGGCAAGGTCAGCGCCTGTTGGTGGTACGCCGACTGGGCGTGGCCAGTGGCGGCACCGGAGGGGGCCGCAGCAGCAGAGGCGGCGCCATTCGGTTGGGCCACTCTGCTGCGGCCCGGGGTAGCGCTACAAGCGGTCCCATAACTTCGACCGATGCCGCAAATAGTTAAGCCTACAAAATCATACGAGATACAATATAAAGATGAACAGAGAGAGATAGAGAGATACAGAGAGAAAGAAAGAGAAAGAGTCAGAGAGCGAGATGGAGAGAAGGGGTCAAAACAGTTGTTTAGGCACGGGTCTCTCTGCCAGCTAGAGCTGCAAAACTATCGGTTTAAAGGAGCTTTGAATTTGAATAAATATCTTTTAGTTCTTAATTAAAATCCTAATTTAAAAATAAAAGTGCAAGTCTATTTTCAAATAATTTAGGTATTTTTGAAGTAGACCTATAAATATAAACTTGCTTATCGCTTTAACTTCGATTTTGATAATAAATTTGTATCTAATTTGTGCCTAAAGAATAAAGATAATTTATATAGGAAGACTACAAATGTTCAGAATTACCATTCTATAAGAAGTTCTTATGAGAATTTTGGGGTACTAAACAAGAATATCTAATATTTAGGAATAAAAATAATTATAAAACAAATTATAATAGAAATAATTGAAATACAGCATTAAATTAAATTTCAACATATTAGAGCTGAATATAAATATAGATTATTTGCAATTTATTATCAGCAAAGAATCCATTTCAAAATTAAACTTTCCTGTTTTATCTTTAAGAAGTATTTATTATCAAGAAATAATTTTGAAATAATTTGGCAAAGGAACTTTAATATATGTACTAATCATAATAATTTCCTCGATTGCTTTATAGATCTATCGATTTTCTTGATAACCGCCTCGATTGTTGTACAGCTCTAGCTTATACAGAGGGTTAGGAATTTATTGACATCAGCTAAAAGCCCTAGTAGCCAGTGTTTTGAGTTTTTTTTGTGGGATCTCTTAGTGTATTATTATTCAGTGGTAGAGAAATGATAAACTCAAGGCCAAGCTTTAATGAAAATATCAGCTGGATGCGCAGGACACAATTCTAGAGGGGAGATTTCTATATGTCATGTGGCGCTGTGAGTGTCTTCAATTGGTTCTCCGATCTTTTTCAGCTACATTGTGCATTGATATGACGAACGCATTTTTTGGTCTTTCTTTTTATTTAGAAAACAGTGATTTATTTCATTAATGAGTAATACTCGATAAATAGTCATTTGGGGGCCGCCATGTCCTAGGTCATGTAGTCGCCAATCAGTATCCGATTCTCCGGCACTACGCCCATCACACCCGCTGCAAAGCAAATACAAATACAAAAGAATAAAGAGTGATCAAAGCAAAACTAAGGGGAGACATGGATGTTTTGTGGCTGTAGTTCGGATCGAATATATATATATATATATAGAACATCGAGGGCAGACGACGAACTAGCTGAGTTAGTAATGCTAATGCGGGTTATCGCAGTGTAGAATAAATGACATAAAGCCTTTCGTCATATCAAGAGGCACACATATTCGGATTGTTTGGGGTTTTCTTAAGAGGTTTTCATGTGGCAAATGTATTATGATTGGTTTTTAGTCACGGGGTTGCTTCTTCACACTCTCACTCACATACAAGTAATGAACAGGTTCTGAGCAGGTGTGATTCTGTGTGTGCACTGTGCAGGTTCAGGTGTGTCTAAGCGTGTGTATACATGGGTATTTGTTGGACTTACCAGTTGGATAGGGCAGTCCAAAGCTGGGATAGCCCGAATAGCCGCGACCGGCGGCATAAGCTGCATAAGCAGCTGCCGGAAAACCTATTAGAAATATTTAAATAAATTAAAAATATGTACAAAATTATATATTATATAGTGCTCACCTTCGGGCAATGTCCCCAGTCCCCACATGATGTTATCTAGAGGAGTCGCATTTGAGAAAAGAGAGAGAGAGCACAGAAAAGAAAGGCAAAATACATATAATTACTGGCATTCATACGATTTTATCAGATCTAATAATGAATTCAAACAAAAGAGTATCGAGATTATATCAGGACTAATTGTTATAGAGTGTAGATATGGAATGGACTGATTTACTATACGTATTCGTTAAGTGTATTCGACTCGTGTGTACTTAGAGTTCTAATCAAGTGTGTTAACTAAGGAACTGCCGATCCCAGATCGGTCGTTCTGCTATTCACTACTCTTATATATATGTAGTTATATATGTTTTCTGAGTTCTAAGAAATGTTTTGCCACCTAAGGGGGGAAGCAGTTAGTGGACTTCCCCGATTCGTTATTCATTTCTGCATTAACAGCCTTGATCTGAGCTATGTTTATATAGAGTTATATATATGTAGAGTTACATTGGTTCGATATACCGCAGATATGACACAATTCTAAACACTTATTAGATATGTAGATATAATCTAAGACATTTAGTTACTATTCTATGATTATAAATTTGAAATTTTCGGCTAATTATAATTGTTATAAGGATAATCCATCGAGCGGGGGCATTTCTAAGGGTCTGCCGTTGTGCATTTCTACAAAAATGCTCCATATCTGCAGACCTTTGCCCCGCGCCCGATCAGCTAAGGTATTAGGAAAATTTTGATAAAAGAAAATAAGGGAAAAATATTATCGAAACTAAACACACACAATTGGCAAAAAACTATAATTATATGTGGGCTAGTTAAACACTACAACTCAAAAAGAGGAGAATATATAGGAAGGTTGACAGCTAATAAATTTTCGGTTTAAATTTTGCATCGGCCTCCCGAGTGACTTCCGGTTTCTCTGTGAAATTGTCATCGGTTTTTGCTCGTTCGTTCTTTCATTCGTTCATCTTTGGCATCGAAGGGTGGCTGATGGCGGCTCGTTTCCTGTTTTGTGTCTTCTTCCGATTGTTGCAACTTAGGCTAATGTTACAATGGATTTAACTAGGAGTTGAATTTACGTTTAATTCGAATTTGAATTTGAGTTTGAGTTTGAATTTGAGCGCTTAATGCGCTTATCGTAATGCAATAGATGCGTGTATATGTGGTTGTTTATGCATGTATAATAAATAGCTAGTTTCGAGTTTAGTCAAATATTAATGGCTATGGCAAACAATATATGTATGTATATGTGTACGGACACAAGGAGATGACGGATAGCCGGGGGAGTTGCCTCTATTACCAGTCAGTCCGGCCATCAGCTGTCTGAGCCGTAATTTGGCTGGTCCCTGTAATTGGCCCGAATGCACACTGCACACTGTACACTGAGCACTGAGCACTGAGCACAGAGCACACTGCACATCCATTATCCATGATCCATTTCGGAAAATTACACTCGGACAGCTGTCCGGCCGATGGCTTCGATGGCATCTGCCCAGTTCGTACCGATTCGAGTCATCAATTTTTCAAACTAACTCGGTTACACACACCGCCAATGCATACTTGAATACGTGTATACTTTCTAATACCTTAAGGGGCCGTCCTTCCGTTGGCCTCTCTTAATCCAACTTAATCGCTAATTCGATACATTTGCTAGGATTGAATTCGATTCGGTTAAATGCTTGCTTTTTTTCGTTTTGTTTTGTTTTGTCTTTGGGGCTAGATAAATACACTTTTAGAAAGAGCTATTGATATGAGTGGTACGTATTAGTAAGTATAATAATAAGAAATGTTCGATATATATATGTATGGTACAGGAGAGAGTCCGTTCTCACGCAAAAACATAAATGAGTGATGACTTTCGTCCCCTCTTGGCATTGATTGTTTAATTAATTTCATTACATCCACATATGGGGCTCTTACGGTCTAGAAAAGTCGCCAGGTGTCTAAGACGCATTACATAATGATAACTGTTACGATCGCCTTCTAAGGTCTAGGGTTTTATCGATTCCTCGATAGTAAGTAATGTATCTAAGCAGCTCTCTAGGACCTGCACTTAGCCTAGTTCTTAAGTAATCAAAGTTCGCTTAGAGTCTAAAAGAAAGAAACGAATGCGCCGCTATTGTATGTAAGTAATTCGGTTAGACGCAGCTTAGACAGACACAAAATATATAAAATATATATATATGTATATATACGATATATAGTACATATGGCATAAGTAAGTACATGGCTAATTGTAAGTAGAAGTACACGTAATCCTAGGCCTAGGCTTTAAAGGCTATTCGAGCCATCGCCGCTTAATATATTCTTTTGGACATTGAGACGGAATGAGAGTCATATAAATGTATATGTAGGTGTATAGTCGTTTAGTGTGTGTCTTGTGGTTGTGTTTCAAATGTGTGCCGGCTTTTAGTTAGTACTATTATTATTATTCAATAGTAAAATTCAAGGCCTGAGCCTTTGAAATCTTTAGTAAATTTAAAGACTTTGGTTTAGTCAGAATTTCTTTGATAACATATTAATTTTTCATTGCTTTTTTGTGAAAATCAATAAACCGACAATAATATATAGCTTTTTATAAAATATATATATTTGTCTTTTGATTAATAAATCAGGCAAACTTTGCGAAATTTTCTAGGATTAACTTTGTACTCTTGCGCTTGATTAATTTGTTGACTGATGCATTTTTAATAATTGCCCGAATAAAATCGCTTAAAATACATTTTCCTATCATTAAGAGTGGGAAAATTTATACTGAGCAAACATTTTTTAATCAAACAATATATAATTATAGATATTTTTTTGTGAGCCTTGCAGATGGCAAATTTGCAGATTAAGCAATTTAAATTCATTAAGCTAAATAAATTGCTGATTAATTTAAACAAATTGTATGTGCTTTTTTAATATTTTCAGACTAAACCAAAAAACTTTAAATCAAAAGCAATTGAGCTTTGAATTTTTATTTGCGAATATCTTTGAATTTGAATTTGGAAACCATCTTGAATCCTAACGAATATCTTGCGATATTGAAATCGAATTTTAGGCTTTAGCCTTAAGGACCTCTCACTGCGGCCTATTCGGTCAGATTCCAGGCAACTGGTAAAGCGAGGCTGCCGCAGCTGCCGCAGAATTGGCGCCCGCTCCCGCCATTTCCAGGCCGCCCGGCATGGCCAGAAGTTCGCTGAGCGGATAATGGGCAGCGGCCAAGGCGGCATTTTGCCGGAGCTGTACCTGCTGCAATTGGGCAGCCGCGGCGGCAGCAGCAGCCGGAGCTGCAGCTTGCAGGGCACCCAATGCGGAGGCGGGAGTCCTTAGACCACTGCTTACTGCTGCCGCTGCCAGGAGTCGCTTGTAGCCAACGACGGCGGCGGCATCGGCATACAGGGAATTGGCCAAGGCGGCGTTGCTCTGACCAGGCAAAGCATTGGCAGCTGCAGCGTACTGCAACAGAGAGGGCGTGGCCGAGGCGGGTGAGGGACTGGCCAGCGGGAGCAGCCCCGGAGCACCTGCAGCAGCGGCCACCACCTGGGCGAGGCTATGCTGCTGCTGCTGCTGTTGATGCTGCTGTGCAGCAACTGCTTGGTGTTGCTGCTGGACGGCAGCTGCTTGGTGTTGCTGCTGTTGGTGTTGCTGCTGCTGCTGCTGGGCGGCAACCATGGCTGCCGCCGAAAGGTGAGCGGGCAGGGGATAAGGGGTGTACCTTAGCGAGCTCAGCAGCTGATGGTGGGTGTGTTGTGTGTGCCGACTGTGTGTGCGTGTGTATTTGCTGGTGGTGCTGATGTTGTTGCTGTTGTTGCTGCTGCTGCTGCTGTTGGTGCTGCTGCTGCTGCTGGTGCTGCTGCAGCACGGAGGCGGCAGCCGCTAAACTACTCGGCAGCAAGCCTGCGGCTGCGGCAGCGGCGGACGTGGCCGCCGTGGAATGGGCGTGGCTGCTGCCCCAGACTACCAACTCACCGTATGCGGAGCGCCCGGCAGCCCGTGTCTTGGCCAGGTTGGCCGGCAGCATTACCTCCTTCGGCTGCGCCTTCTTGCACTCGACCTGCGGAATGAAAGATAATCATAAATGAGTTTTAAGTGATCTTGATACCTTTTGAACTAATTATTTTGTTGTAAATTATATAAAGAACGAGCATTAGTTACTTATAAAACATTGTAAAATATTCTTTCTTTTAAAAATGTAAGTAAAAATGAACAGAACATCATTTAAACGGGAAATTTAGAAGAAAATTCCTGCAGATTTAAATTAAATTAAACAGGAACACAGCAAAACAACAATAAACTTATTTAATTTATTTATTCAGTACACAAATAATAATAAATAAATAAAGTGAACGGCGATCTCTGCTCAAGGTGCTTTCGTCCTTGTGTAAATATATTATTTCACCAGAGATATCTGATATTTTTCTTTGCCATAATAAAATCATAAATTGATGGGCAATTCGGGGGAAATATTTTTGCTGTGTATGGCAAAAGAAAAAGGAAAAGAACTTAAAGATGAAGGGGAAGTTAAGCCTCCTGGGCTGCGATTCAGACCGCCACGCTTCACTTACCATTTTGTTGTTTATCTCGTGGAAATGAATTTCGCAAACTTTGTCTACCACATCTTCGCTTTGAAATGTAACGAAGCCAAAACCTGCAAAATAAGAGCGGAGAAGCGAGGATGAGTGAGAGTGGGGCGAGTGGGGTAGAAAAAGTTTAAGGGCTGCAAAAATTGAACGAAATATGCTTTTGTGTGAGCGAGCGGCTAAATAATTTACTCAAGTGTCGAGACCGAGGCAGAGGCGGCGCCCTCACCCCTTTGCAGGACATCCAGGACACCGCCCCACCCATTCCCTTTCAGAGTCAGAGCCAGGCCGGGCCAGGATAGCTGTCCTCCGGCTGACCTCAATATGCATCCCCTGCAGGGCCTCAAGTGGCGGCTGGGCGAGTAATTCAAACACTGGCCGCTCCGAGTTTACATAATAAACTTTGCCTGCTCGGCTCCCTTCTTGAAGCTTCCCCAGTCCTGTCCCCATCTTGACCCGCCCCTTGGCCGCCTTGGGATCGGGCATAATAACTTTGTCCTAATGGCGCTGGCCAGCTCTAGAGCAGCGTGGCCACTCTCTGGATATCCTCCAATTGGTGGCTGACGAAGAACTCAAATTCCCGGAATGTCAAGTCATTTCGGGGGGTTTTTTATGCCCGGAATTGGGAAAGGATTTATTATGGCTTAATTAAATTTCTTTAATTTGTTGCCGTTGCAATTTGTGCAAAGTAAAAGTTATAGTTACTGGATTTTTCCCTTTTTTAGTGGAAGAGAAAGGTTTAATAGTTGGGGATTTCATGATAGTGCTTTGGTTTAGTTTTTACTTTCTAGTTTTCATTTAAAGAAAGTGATTATTGTTTTATGAATACGTTTATGTATTCATTTGAAGGTTTTTTCAGGAAAGATTAAAGTTGACATAAAAAGAAAAGGTTTTGTGTTCATAATCAGTGAATGTTAATATATTTTAATGACATATTATAATATAAATTTCTTTCTTTTATCAGAAACATTACACTTAGAAAGGTTTTCATAATTATTTCATTATTTTATTATATTCTTTATTTTTACTTGAATTATCTTTTAAAGTCACTGGGAACTCTTTTTGTAATGAGAAACCTATATCATATCTTTAAGGAAATCATTATATTAATTTCTTTAATTGGGAAGTAACTTAATTAACTATTTTTTGTATTATTTCTTCCATTAAGTAGCTTCATTAGGAGTAGCCAAAAGTAGAACGCAACTTTCCATCAGATTGGGGAACCATAGGAAATTCCATTTGAGGCTTTCTATCTCCACTATCCTCTATCCGCTTAGTGCTCCTCAATGTTGCTCCGATTTCCCTCCCTCCTTCCCCTCCGATTTCGGCACTTTGGCCTTATCGGGGCTTTTCAATTAGCGCAATTGTCTGAGATTTCACATGGTCGAAAAGAAGGGCTCTCGCTCTCTCTCTCTCTCTCTCTCTCTCTCTCTCTCTCTCTATCTCTGTCTCGCTGTGCAATTAGCAAGGCCAAGTGCAGACACCTGATGCCCCGGCCCCGCATTTTGTTTGTGTTTGTGTATATATGTATGTATATCCTGTACGTGTGTTTGCCTGGCCATGCGGGCCTTAGAGCGGGACCCTTGGAGGGGGCGTTTCACTGGGAGCTGTGGGCGTGGGCGTGGCCAAGCTGGGGGTAACTGACAAATTAGTTGAAACAAGTAACAGTAAACACGCAGGCTTATTAGCGACATGTGCCGAGCAGCAGAAGCTCTGAGCTCCAAAGCGGAGAGCTCCTTTTCCTTGAGACAACGTGCGGGCGAACAGGTCTTCCTGGAGTGTGTTTGTATTTGTTTTAATTATATAAAATTAGCGCACGTTGCAGGTTGCACGTAAAGCTGCACATGAAGAAATAAGTAGCTAAACGGATCACATTGCTAAGAAGTTGTGTTAACTCCTTCTGGGATTACTTTGCTTACAGAAATTTGAGGTTGTAAGCTATAGTTTTTAGGAACTCTATTTAAATCATGTCTAAATATAATACATTTTCCATTAAAATACATATATTCCTTAGAATTAAATTAACTAGTTAAGTTTCTACTTGCTTTCCTTGGAATTCCCTAATATGCACTTTAGTTAATTAACCACAATTTTTGATTTACTTTTTCTAGTGTAGCCCCTGGGCTTCTTCAGGGTTTTTGTCTATTCCGCTGCAACTTCATAAATCAGCAGCCTTGGAACAAATGAAGCCAGCAATTTTCGGTACCTGCTCCGCGCTCCACACGTAACTCAATCAAAAATGTATCTGCTGGATACAAATGCGCCCGGCCAGCATGAGGAATGAGCCACGGCCAGGGCTCGTTGGCCAGTTAATTCCGCGGCCTGAAGCTTCAAGCTTTCAGCTCTCAGGTGAGTCTGATTGTGAGTTCTGTTCTGTTGAGCCCGCGCCCGGCTGCCATTTTTACCTGTCGAAAATTTCCCGCAGGACGGCGCGCGCGGCGCTGGAGCGATAGGAGCTGACGATGGTCTTGGCAACTGCAAAAATTGCACACTCATGCATGTTATTGCCAAGAAGCGGACACAGATATATGCTCCTGGGGGAGGAGTAGGGGGAGTAGCACCAGCACCAGCACCAGCAGCTGCTGCTGTTATGACTGCGCTGCGCCGGCTTGCCAAAAAGAAAAATTACAAAATTTTCAATTTTAATATTAGTGGCGGCTGGCGACGCCAACTGCCAAGCCGGGGCCCCGAAAGCTGCCCCAAAACTCGTTCGCCGCGCTCCTAAGCCACCCGGAAAAATACCCACCGAAAACTACAACCAACCGTACCAAAGCCAGGACGCCCACAAGCTGGCTGCTTAGGCGCACGTTGGGCATGTCCTTGGCTTGCCAAATGAAATTCATAGCATAGTTTTGGGCGCAGCTCGGCTGTTGTGAACTCTATATTTGTACAGGACATATTGCTTAGAGGCGGCGGCAGGCAACTTGAATAAATACTTTTCACAGACTTTAGCTTCAGCTTTAACTTCTGGCCAGGAGCTCATAAGTTTTTGATATATATATTTATAAGGAGAATTTTGTAGCTGAAAGTAAGAAATATATAAATCTAGCTTTTAGTACAGTTTATGCATTTTTCCAGCCCTTTTCTTCAACTAATTTCATTTTATATTATTTTGTTGTACTATTTCCTGGAGTTTACTACTCCAAATTGATTTTCTGCCTAAAGAATTCCCTTTAGCGCATCTTCACTGTAATTGCAATTGCCCTCGGCCGCGTGGTTGTCATCCCCGCAGTTGTTATTGCTGTTGGTGCCTGGGCCTGCCTATATTGTTTTATGGCATATTCATATATCGTTTCCTATATCTTGTTTTATTTTTTTTTGTTCCTTCTGCCCATCTGCCCTTCTGCCCTTATCCCATATCCCATATCCACCCGTATGTCGTGTGTTCCGTGTGCCGTATCCAGTATATGAAACGCTTGTAGAGTTCTGGCTTATGGGGCCCCCTCTCACTAGATTCTGGGCCAACTGCCATTGCTGTTGTTAGCTGGAAAGAGGCGCTGCAATTTTCAGTGACCAGGCTACTCGTACTCGTATTCGTATATGAGTTGCTTCGCTGGCTGTCTGTCTATTTGTCCATCTGTCTATATGTCGCTGTGCTGCACACATGATTTATGAATGAGTAACAAACTTGCTGCCGTGTAGCCGAGCAACCAACGACGTCTTTTCCACTTTTCTTTTACATTTTCCATCGTTTTTTTGCCCCCTCTTTAGTATAGTTGGTATGTGTGTGTGAGTGTACGTGGCAATTGCCACACACAGATATATATACATATATATATGTATATATAGGGAGCTGCCGGATCGGATCGATAAAATGCAATTACAGGCATATCGCAAGTGCCAGTAGGCAACGGACTCCGACTCCTCATGGCAATAAGGTCGTACATCGTACATCGTACATCGTCCGACTGTACAAAAAGTCGCCAGCGTTGTCCTCGTCCTCACACAGGACTCTTGCCCGTCCTTCTCCTCCTCCTCCTCCTCCTCCGAGGGGGGCTCCTGCTACAACTAATACCCTTTGATTAACGACACACATTTTCTATTGACTTGCCCGCTGGTCGCTGTGAAGTTGGGCAGTTGGCTGCTCGCAGAAACGAGAAAGCACCTGCATATTTCATCGCCCGATCGATGCACGCAATTGTAATTTGCGATTTGCAATTTGCAAGGCTGACATGTCCTGGCCAAAATGAATTGCGCCCCCAATGAGTCGTGTCAATAGCTCCCCCACTCAACTCTGGCTGGTCAATGCATTTTTAACTTGGCAAATCACACACCAAATATCTGCATTTGCAAAAACTTAATTCTCCTTGTATTGACCGGTCAACCTCAAGAACCTTTCTGATACTTGAATTTGAAGTAAATTTCATTTAATTGAAGGCAAATCCTACTTGCAACATTAGTTAAGTTTTCTGTCTGCTCTACCAAATGCATTTTTAATTGAAAACCCTGAAAAGTTGTGCAGGAAATTCATTAAAAATGTGTGTGTGTACTGTATATTATTTATTTTACTCATTATTCCTACTGGGTCCCCGGATGACTAAATCTTTGATGTGATGGCTTGGCGTCCTTCACATTATTTTTAAAATGCCTCATATTTGTTTTTATTGGCTGCTGCCCGTTGCCCCCCCGCTTTCAAGCTTTCCTCCCTTTTTTTTTGTATTTTTTATATACTATATGTATGTATGACTGCATCATCATGCAGTTTCAGCGTACTCCAGCGTCCAATTAAGCGAAATGTTCTGTGGGCCCACGGCTCTATCTCTGCAGCCCGCTTTTTTCCCTTTCCTTGCCGCTTTTTGCGCTTATCTGCGATGCTGCGCACAGAAGTATGCTACAATTTTTATGGGCCGCGCACAAGCAAAAATCATGTTTTCTTATTCCCGTGTGCGTAATTTGAAGGGCGCAAAAGTTAACAATGTCCGGTGGATAGGGGGGCGGGGATGGGGTATATACCAGAGAACTGCAACAAGCCACCGCACCTATAAGTGCACCCGCAAAACACTCGGTATCTGAGACACCCGGGTGTTTATGGTACCCTTTATACGGTGGTAAAAAACACCCGGGTGTATTTGGCACCCGGGTGTCTTTTGGCACTCCCTAAAAGGGTGCGAGTGAGTGTTGTGGCACAACGTTTCGAGTCACCCGACACACAAGGCAAGATCGGTCGCAGGTCATTTTTTGTATGCCTATTTTTAGCATGGGTGTGAGCAAGACGGTCTAAGAAAAAATAGGGTGAAAAGAACACCCAAAAATAGGTCGTGTGCGTGTTTTTGATTTTGCCTGTTTGACAAATCCGAGTTCGAGTAAAGATACATATTTGCAATTTATAACTGTACTCCTTCAAGAATTGTCTGAGTCCGATCGCTAACAAAGAGTTCGAGACAAAAAACGCAAGGCGATGACGTCATAAACACCTAGGTGTCTACGAGACACCCGGGTGACATATGTGTGTTTTTTCCACAACCCTTTTTTGCCTGGGTGTTTTTGTTACTGCCTAAAGAGTGGGAGTGAGTGCTGCGGCACAACAAGCGACGATCGGTCGCAGGTCATTTTTTTGTATGCATGCATTTATTATGGGTACGAGCAATATGGTCTAAGAAAAGAACGGTGAAAAGAATCACCCAAAAAAAGGTCGTGTGCGTGTTTTTGTTCTTGCCTGTTTGACGAATCCGAGTTCGATTAAAGATACATATTTGCAATTAAAACTATACATTTTCAAAGTCCTAATTTAAATAATAATTACGAAGTATATCGTAAATATTATATATTAAAAGAGACTTACTTTTTGTAGCAATATTTTACTTTATGTAAACAATAGCTAAATTGATTATTAACAAAATATTTTAAAAATCATTATCCCTTTTTGGATTTTTTATGTTTTTTGCTTTAAGTATTTTTTGCGATTAAAAAGTATTTATATATTTATTTAATATACCATAGCAATATAAATAAATCAGCCGTTTCTGACCTCTTTCTGAGACATCAGGAATGGTCTGAATCCGATCGCTAACAAGAGTTCGAGACAAAAACACACAGGCAATGACGTCACAAACACCTAAGTGTCTACGAGACACCCGGGTGATATCTGTGTGTTTTTGCCACAACCCTTTCTTTGCCTGGGTGTTTTTACCACCGCATGCCTGCTCTACCGTTCGTTTTGGGTGCGAGTGTGATCGGCACCCGCCGAAGAAAAACACCGCATTGATCGGGTGTCTATGTGCCGGGTGTTTGCAAACACCCATAAGATTTTGTGTGGGTGTTTGCATGTTGCTGTAGTTGCCGGTGGTGAGTGGCACCGGCACCCGAAATTTGTTGAGTGTGAGTCGGGTGTCAAAAAATGCCACCCTTGCAGTTCTCTGGTATATACAACATGTTTGGGGTTGTGGGGGGGGTGTGTTTGCCAAGTGGCGGAATGATTGCACACCCGCAAAACCAGCAACAACTATTGATGCATGCTGGGGCCCCCGGTTTGTGTCCATGTGAGCTAATTACTTTTGAGCTGCGGTTCGGCTGTGTTGCCTTTGGTTTGTGCAAAATTGGGCACATCAATCTTAATGCGCCGTGTCTCAGGTTGTTCCCCAATCTGACCTCCATGACTGTGGGTTGGCACCCGGGGTCACAATGCGAAATTTGGGGCGTCATTTAAAACTTTAATAAGCAAAATTGACAACGACAAGGCATTGGACTGTTCAGCAGAACACAAAAAGGACACGCACCACTGGACGGAAAATTGGGTTACTGGGAAAGTTATATGGTTTTTGAAGAGATCTATTCAAGTTACTTATGATTTTTATGCCAAATGGAGCCGGTTTTCCAAAGAAATTTGTATTTTTAAATACTACTGATGAAAAAGGGAGCCTTTGAGGCTTTCCCTTGGAAATTGTATACTTTGTATAATGATTTCAAGGGGAATTCATATTAAACTTTTAGTTAAAATGCCATTTAAAGAGGTTTTCAGTTAAAAAAAGCTTAAGATTCCTTTTTCCTTGAAGTTTATAAAAATAAATGTTTATTTTACTTTGCTCTTCAAATATATTTATGCGGTAAGTATTTATCAAATGTTCGTTTGAATTAAGCTAGCTTATCATGGATTTTAAAATGTAAGCATCTTAGAATAGGTCAAGGGATTCATTAAATGGAATATACTTAAGTCAAACAAATTGCAACATTATTAAGTTTAGTAAGTTTCCTATTATTATATTACATCTATGGTATTTTCTCCTTATCCATACTTTTTGAACAGTGCATTGAAAGCCGGACATCCCGACAGGGTACTTGGACGGTTGGACGGACAGCTGGACAAACGCAATGGACGCAGTCGTGCGCTACAAGTTCGTGTAGCGGATGTACACTGGAGATTTAAGCCTTCTGCCGGCCAACCAGCGCACCTCAGCTGCTGACCTCGCTGGCCTGCAGCATCACCTAACCACCCAATCCTACCCTGGAGCAGCGTCCACCCACAGCACCTGAACCAGCCACCAGCCAGCAGCCACCAGGCAAAAGCCACTCCACTCCTGTGTGAACCCCATGAACCACCCACTGGAACAGCCATCCGGCAACGTAAGAGGATGGCCGTCTCTTATGGCCCTTATATCCGGTTGCATTGGCAGGTAATCTTTTCGGGTCCCTCTACTTCCTACTTCCTGTTGCCCGGCCATTTTAATGCCCCGACAAGGTTTTAAAACTGTATTAGCCCTTTGCTTATGAGCATCCTGCCATGCATGATACATTGACATTCGTTTATGTGTGTGTTTGAGAGTGTACATATATGCATTGCTAAGCTCTCGCACTTCCGGCTCCAGCTCGTTAAAGTCCGGAAACGGGGCTAGCAAATGTTTTTGTGCATTTATGGTGATGATTTTCATAGATAGCGATGCCGATAACGATAACGATTGCGAAAGTGAGAGTGATGGCAATAACTCACCTCTGTGCCGATTGGTCTGCTTATCGAACATCAACATGGCGTCCTCGATCTGGAATTAATCAAGTGGAAAAATAAATTGGTTAGTAATTAGCTAAGGAAAGTGAGCTTAGATATATATTTAGGAAGTTATTTATATTTGCCCTTAAAATTGACTTAAAATTGAATATTGTTAAAACTTTTTACGGCGTAAGAAATGGTTCAATTAATATTTTTATTATTCAAAGAATATTTTCCAAGGCAAATAGAAAGCTTTTCTTTGTTTTGTTATAAATTCCCATCTTTTCTGGTACAAAAATCGATATGTCTCATCTATTTTCTTCACCAATAAGTAAGAACCCCCATAGCTATCGATAGAATAATATATTTGACTCTTTTTCCCGTTGCGTAAAAAGTGGCAATTTTTCATTTGCCAACTCATTTTCCGCGACTTGGCTGCACTCCTTCGTTTGCAGTTCCTGGGTCCTTTGCTCCTTTTGTTGCAGTCGGTGCATAAGCACTCGAAGTTTGCCTCCTCGGTGCGAGCAACTCAATTAATGGCCTGAATAAATGTTCGCAGCAGACAAAACTGCTGCTAATTGCAAAGTGAGTGCGCACAATGGCCGGCACACACACATACACATTTACCCCCTACTGGCCACCCACCAGCTGCCTGCCCCCCAACCCCCAAGCAGAGCAAAACTTTTAGCCATTATGGCGCAAAAGAACTTATAATGATAGTTGACTGTCAAACCAGCGCACTAACTAACTAACTAACTGCGCCCGCTGACTTTCCACTGGCTGGCTGACTGGCTCATTACAGGCCCGCTAACTGGACATTCGGGAATGATGAACTGCTGGCCAACTGACTGACTGACTGACTGCCAGAATGACTGAATGACTGAATGACTGACTGACCAACCGCCAACTGGTTGTCATTTGATATTTTAATTGACGCGACGAATGAATGCAGCAAATGTGCTGCTAAATTGGCCATCACAATCAGATTGGGGCTCAATTGCATTGGCCAGAATGTGAATTGTGTGTGTGCAGTTGTTGAATTGAGGCATTAATGATAAATATCAAAATAAATGTGCATTTTCGATAATAACTTTTGCTATTTAATTAGGAAGCTTATTATTATAATTGTGGAGACAAAAATAAGGGGGAGAAACAGGGTTCCCTTTACGTGGTTTTGTCAGGAATAATTGTTAAAACTCAATAGCAAACCACTTAAATACTTGGCATAACTTGAAAAACTAAAATTAAGCAGAAAGTAATTTTTTTTTTGTTATTCCCTATCCAAGTTTACCTTTAATTAATAATCAATTGATTACAAAGTCAATTTTATAAGGACTCAAACTGCCAATTAGCCAATCAATATATCAATTTCAATGGTTTAATCTTGACTGATTTGATTTTTGTCCTGACGATTTTAGGAATGATTTCTATAATCGAAAACTTTAATGATAATTTTCAAGTTATTTCTACTTGACGTTCTACAAAATCCTTTCATATAGCCTGGCACACGATTTTCTTAAGGTCCTTGAGCTTCTTGCCTGCCTGCCTTCCTGCCTTCCTGCCATTCAATATTATAATGTGACAACTTTGCCTTTATCCTGCTCCTGCGCTGCTAATTGCACATTTCTTGTCAAAGTTGCGATGCGGCCTTTAATGAGCTGCAAGCTGACCCCGAATCCTTGTCGTTTCTCCTTACAATCCCGCTCCTGCTCCTACTCCTGCTCCTGCTCGACTTCCTGCTTATGGGCCATTGATTAAACTTAATCAATGCGCTTAAGGCAACTCGCAACTCCTGTGCACTGTAATTAAAATGCAGCCACGATGCCAGGAAAGGCGGCCTTATAAAAATTAATTAAGCTTGCGCCGCACTTTTCCGCCCAACGCCCATAGTAACCTCCCCCTCTTACCGCTGATTCGGTAGTTTACAGAGGGGAAAAAAAGTAAGAAATCTTTGAAATAAAATAATCGGATTTTCATCATGGTTAAATAAAACATATTTATATACCTCTTAAGATAAAAAACAGGTTTTAATAGAGTTTAAAAAGTCATAAGGAACATTATTTGGGTTCTTTGCTAAATGTTCGATTTATATAATTGAAATGGTAATACCTATTTGAATTACATATTGTAGGTATTTACGGCAGTGGCAGGATAAATTTCCCTTTAAAATATGCCAAACATGACTAGTAACGTACATGTTTACCTTTGCGTTAACTAAAAATCAATATATATCTATTTTAATCAAATCCGATCTGATTTAATTAAATTTTCTCCCCGTGCATGCTGTGTAGCTGTTGTTCGCGCCTCGCAATTCGCAGCTCTTCAAGTGCAGCCGCCGATGAAACCAACTACAACATTGTTTTTCAATTAACAATCAACAACAATGCCGCAACACAATACAAACGAACGGCGAAGGTTACACGCGCCAAATGACACAAAAATTGCCAGCTCAGGTGCTGGCTATAAAAGGGGGTGAGTGGGTTAAGGAGGCCGCTTGGCCAAAAGGGGCGTGCCAGGCCAGGGTGGGCAGTACAATTGCAATTGTTGTTGTTAATTAAGCGGGCAAAACTGGAAAAGCGAACACTGCGAATCGAACTCGAATTGCGGCCTGTTGTTAATGTCCGCCTCCCTGGATAGCCACGCCCCCAGATGCCCCCCTCGATAGCTGTCATAATTACACTGGACCCTGGATCGTTGGCTGGCTCATTATGCCACCCATTTTACCGATTTCCCATTTCCACACCGCCTGATTTCCCATTCCCCTCCCCTTGCCGAGAGTCACCGCAAACTTTAATTCTATTAGCAAACG